TGGCGACCTGCAGATGTGTGGAGGGTGATTCTGCTGAGGCGCTGGAGGAGTCTTGCCTGGACTGGAACTTCCGGCTTTGGGTCCTGCTCCAAGGCGGCGTCCTACTCCAATGCTGAGGCCCGGAGCCCCGCGAGCTGTCACAGCGCTGGTGATGTCTGCGGAGAGCAGCTGGATAGGGGTCCTTAACACTGTCAGAGATGGAATCTTCCGACCAGGGGAGATCTGTGGGCACCTCGGTGTGGGGCATGGGGCAGCTCACTCCCTTCCCGCCCCCGTGTCCCCGGCCCCCCATGAGGCAATTTCTGCAAAACCCAAATCAAATCTGACTTTGAATTTTTGAAAAGATCTAGGAATAATGAAAATGTTTTGTATAGATTTTTAGATGAGGGTCAGGACTTGTGATTGTTGGAATGAGGAAAGTCCTATGCAGTAGACATAAGTAAAAAGCAGTGAGTAGTTTTAAATATCACCACACGCATCTGACAAATTTCCTTCCCATCACATTGCTGCTGCTCTCATGGAAATTGTTGCATTTGGCATTATTTCGAAAGACAAGGAGAAGGATATTTCAGAAGTTAATTTGTGACAACTCACTTGTCCTTGACGTTAGACACAGAGGGGCTGCGTTTGCTGCCAGGGTTTTAAAGGATCCCAAAGTGCCTGCTGTTCTGATCAAGGTTAAAGTGCATGACTGGGGACAGCCCTGGCCCACCTCTCCCCTGGCTTTCAGCCTAATGCACTAAGAGGGTGAGAGGTGTTTGCCTCAGTGACTGCCCAGGCCCTCTGCTCCTGTCAGGGTGCCCAGCAGCTTTCCTCCAAGCACTGCCCCTCCTGGCAGGCGGAAGCCATTGAGTGTCCTGTGATTTAGCTTATTTCTGGCCCTTTCAACTGTCCACCCCAAGTTCCACGTGTATTATTTTCTTTTCTCAACAGAAGATACTGAGTCAACCTGGACAAAGAATGCACTTCCTGTTTCCTCTCACCCCACACATTAAAGAGCTATTGTTACCAAGTCCATGTCTACACCAACGCCTAGTATCAGTCTTACTAATAACGCCTAGCATTAGCCTGCTACACCATGCCCTGACACTCCCGAGCTCTTCCCCACAAAGTGCTTGCATCCCAGGCGAGGGGCAGACACGGCATACCCAGGGCCTGCAGGGAGCTTGCAGAGCCAGCACGGAGCCTGGGGGTCCTGGGCACCAGGGCCCCTCGCACTCTTCAGTGGGCCCTCCAATCCGCAGGACTGACCATTTCCCTTTCCCCTTGCTCTTCCCTGGCCCTTGCCCTTCCCAACTTCCCTGAGGACAGGAGGCATTCTGTCCAGCCATGGGCCCAGGGTGGACATTTTTTAAAAGGGAGAATTCAAAGTAAAACAATAATGCTAAAAACAACAGTCTCCTGTTCCAGGAGGGGCTCTTATCAGCCTTCACGCCTCTTTGTGGAAGCCTTGATAATGCTTCCCACTGACCCAGCTACCTCTTCCCAGTCTATCTCCTTTCTCACGTTGGGCTCTGGATCTTTTGCCTGCACAATGCAATTGTAAGTCCGCAGCACAATCCCTGCACTTCTGATTTCACCTGTAGGCAGATCCCGCCCTCCCCAGACACAGCTCTCCTTATGTGGCGCCTCACAGCTGTCAGACTGGAACCTGTTTCCTTCACCTGGGGCCCCGTCTCAGGTGCCCGCGATGAGCCAGCGGGTGATTTCTCCACTGCATTCATCCAGAGCTTATGTTCTGCAGTGTGTCCCCACCCTGGGTTCCTCCTCTGCTCCTCGGTCCTTCATCTGGACTCCACTGTAGAGGATCCCTTCAGACCTGTTTTCCCACACAGGAAGGTTGCTCTTGCTCCCGACTCCAGGTGACCCTTCCGTACCTGACCAACATGCAGGGCCTCCTGCCTGAAATTCTTTTCTCTCTGGAGCTTTCCAGAAGCCTCCCTGGGTCTTCAGTCCCCATGCACCTTTCCCTCTTCCTCTCCAGCCTGTTTCTCAGATGCAGGGAGACTCACAGGCCTCCAGCCTGGAGCCTCCATGTGCCCTCTAACACATGCCCAGTCTGCAGCCTGCCCTTCACGGGCTCCAGATCCTCCCAGTCCCCAGCTGGTGTGCAAACCTCAACTCCCACACCCAGTTGTCCCTGACTGAGCTGCACATCTGTGTGAACAGCTCACAGGCCCCTCCAGCCAATGGCCAACAACACCAGTTAATTTCTCTAACAATGAAAACCCTAACTTTTCCAAGATAGCATTCGTAGACTGCTCATTCCCCATCTGGTCATGTTTGCCTCACCAGAAATGGGAAAATACTACTGAATAAGTGACATTTTCCCTCCAACAACCAGCCCAGTAGACAAGCAGATAACAATGACAAGAAGTCCAGAAATCTCTCAAAACCACAGGTGAAACAAGATGTCCCTACACGTCCCAGAGGGTGTAAGAGGGTTTTGTTGACCAGGAAGAAGGCAGGAGACACATACTGTTTTTCCTGTTCTAGTCAGCTTGGGATGCCGCCACAAATTGTCACCATGGCCCCCCAAAGAGGTGTTCACTTCTCAGGGTTCTGGGAGCAGCCAGTGTGAGATGGGGATGCCGGCATGGCTGGACTCTCCATAGGGTCCTCCTTGATTTCCACCTGTCCCCTTCCCATCTCTAAGAGCATTGGCCTGTCATGGAGGCTGGATCCTTAGGTCCTCATGGAGACCTAACGGCCCCACTCAGCTTTACCCCCAGATACCGCCACAGGGTCACCTGGGACATCAGGGTTACAACAGACGATGCTGGGGGACATGAAGGTCCAGTAGTTAGTGGCTCCATCTGGCAGCTCTGACTGTACATACTCTGACTGTGGCCGTGGGTCAGACTGCTGCGCAGGGGAAGCTGCGCCGAGCTAGCGCAGAGCTCCTCCCGTGCCGCAGGGGTGCGCTGTAGTTACATGGTGCGTTGCTGTACGTTTTATCTCCTGGGAACTGGGGATTTGAAGGGAAATCCTCTACTGTTAATTTTAGAGGTGTTATTTGAAAGGGGAAGTAGAATTAAGGAACTTCTACTCAAATCCTTCTGTTATTAAAAAAATAAATGCTAAAAAAACACAAGCCTGCTGCAAGAACACTTCGTAGCCCAGAAATCCCTGGCATCACCTGCCCCGCGCCACATGCACGGGCTCAGGAGGCAGTTTCCGCTCAGCCAAGAATCCTAGCCCTGGGGATGGTGGCCTGCAGGGAGGAAGCAGCTGGGTCAGAGTAGGACCCTCAACTGGACGTCACGTCCAGCAGACCAGCTTGTGAACCAGGATCCTGTGTCGCACTGTGGCGGGGAAAGTGAGCATGTCCAATTCTGCACCCCAAACTCACTGGTGACTCACTGGGTAGCCCCTAAGCCAGGAAGCCCTGGGTCTGTGGGGATGGCCTTTGCAGGGTGACTGGTGGCATGGTAGCCCCTCCCCTGGCTCCCCGACCCTCTTCTGACACACTTCCCCTGGCTCCCGACCCCTCTCCCTGCATTACCGTCTTTCCTGTTATGGGGACGATTGTCCAGGGACACCTAAGGCTTCACACTGACCCTCCTCCTCGCAGCCTGAGGACCTGGCAGTGGGTGCATTAGGGGGCTCTCCTGCCACAGGGGTTCCCTGCGCAGGCCGGACTAGTTCACGGTACCACTGTGCTGCAGCGCTCTGGACAGGGAGTCCTCTAGAGCACTCTGCAGGGTGCAGGTCTCTGTGCCTAATCCCTCCATGGCTCGGGGAGCACAATGCCCGAGAAGCTGACTCTGGGCCGGGCAGGATGACTTTTTGCCTGATGTTTCACACTAACAAGACCTGGGAAGGCAGTGTCTGTGTGTGTGTGTGTGTGTGTGTGTGTGTGTGTGTGTGTGTGTTTCTTCCCCTGTCCTGTGCTGCCAGAGTCCTGGCACCCCTTCTTCTCCCTGGAGACCTTCACTCACACCTGTGGGTGTTGGGGGGAACCTATAACTTTGCACTAAGGAAAGCTCAGGGGAACAGCGCAGAGCTTCCTCCCGGAGGCTGCTGGGCAAGTCACCAGGGTCTGAGTGGAGAGATGCCAGAACTTTCCTCTCTGGGGGGCCAAGGTGGGAGCTGCTGTCTGAGGGGAGGAGGTGCCCACTGGCTACAGGGAAGACCATTAGGAACTTTGGTGAGATCCAGGACTTGACCGAAGGGAGTCGGTCGCCCTCTGAAACCACGCCGAGCTGGCAGGAAGTGCGGTCCCAGATGTGAAGAACCAAGGAGCGCTGCTGACCCTGCACCCGTCCACCCGCAGCACTGGAACACAGGCACTGCAGCTGCCGTGAGTCTGAAGACTATTTAAGAAAAATGCAGCCTTGTCCCAGGAGCCACGGGGAGGTACCTGATGGTGACATGGAGCCTCCATAGAGCATCCTTCACGAAGGCCTGAGCGGCCCCCGGTGGACTAGTGTTGAACACCGGGACGGTTCACGGAAAGGAAAGGGACCCTCGGGGTAGACAGCCCACATGCTCCTGAGCTGTGTGGAAAGAAGACAGAACCAGCACTCGGTGCTGAGAATGAGCAAAACAAACAAACAACAACAAACCCAGTCCTCACAGAGCTCCAATCTAATAAAAGGCAGAGTCAAGGAATCATCTCTAGACACTCTGTTAATCAAAAAGATCTCAACTTTCTCCAGCGTTTTCCTTTGGAAAGTCTCTTTCTCCTTCAGGCAGGATTTCAAAGTCCTTCAATGTCCATGTTTTGGACACTAGTCTTTGCTGACATGGAGGGTGGGGACTTGACCAACTGCCTCCCAGGGGTACAGGGGCACAGCGCTGCTCCTGCCTGGGCTGAAAGGGCTTAGCTATTGGGGGCTCCTATCTCTAATTAAAATTAAGACCAAAAGCCAAATCACTAAGATGTAAAGCACAACTCATATTTCTCCTGATAATCAAAAATTGTATAAAACCTCCAAATGAGAGTACTGAAAAGCCAGTATGTTTCTGAGTTTCAGATGAATCTGGCTTGAACAGAATCTGGAGACTCTGAAGAGCATTTCCAGAGCACACCACAGAATTCTCAGGTACTCTTCTCTTGAGCAGGCTTCAGGGCCACGACCGTGACACCGTGTCTTGATCTAGTGTCAGTCTGACAGATCGGTGTCTGCACTTTCAGAAATGGGCCAAAGTGCTTCGGGGAAAGCCGGCCCACAGCCAGCTGCTGCCAAGTCTTGGCGGCAGGGACCACTTTCAGGCTGCCAGACAGTGAGCCTCCATCTTTCCTTTCTTGGGGGCTACAGCCAGACAGCATGAAGTGACAGAGTCTCTCAGACGGTCACCTGGAAGCCAGCGCAGCTCCATGCATTATTGTAGACCAGAGATGCTCCGATTTGGGAAGTCGAGGGGGCTTTAAGGTGGAAGAACAGAGAAGAGTGATGGCCAACAAGAGCACTGGCCACAGCAAAGGAGAAGATCAGCAGCAGCGACCAGGTCACGGCTACGAGAGAGGGGGCCTCGGTGAGATGAAAGAAGGGCAGTGGCCCAGCCCGGCTCGGATCTCCCAGCGCACAATGGACAGGTGAGAGGAACAATGTTTCTGAACCAATTTACTGTGGACAAGTATCTACTTGTCGCACGGTTCCTCACTCAGGGCCCTGTGTGTTCCCGAGTGGATGCTCTTTTCCAGGTGATTTTCCATAAACCATCAACAAGGAGCTCAGTGAGTACGTAACCCACTGCAAAGCTTTGTCCAGCCTGGATTTCAGGGCTCAGAGACAATTGGTGACAATCATGCTATTTAAATTTAGAGAATCGCTAGGACAGGGCGATGATCACAGAAAGCTTGGAAGAGACAGAGAATCCAAGTCCTAGAGCAGAACCAGCCAGGAATGGTGAGCTGGTTTCTATTTTATTTATTTCCCCCCCTTCTATCCTTGCCTCCCTCTTTGTGACAAAGGACAGAGAAGGAAGGAATCTGATGCCAACACCTATTATGTTCATCATGCCAGCCTTCCAGATGGGCTGTGCGGACTCTCCTGATAATGTGGCAGAAGCCGTGAGTGGGAAGACAGAGATGGCCTTATCTAGGGGGACCATAATACTCACCAACCATCCTGGGGCAGTACGGGGAGTGGAAAGAAGTACTGCTAATAATTATGCTGCTGTGCTGTGGAGAAGTGTTCCCAGAGACCCCTGTGCTCGCGGCTTGGTGCCAAGGCAGTGCTACTGGACGGAGTTGGGGACCTCATGAGAGGCGAGGTCATTGGGGCTGAAGATCCGTGTTCTTCCTCCTCTTCTAACTTCCAGGCCAGGAGGCGAACAGTTTGCTGTCCGGGCGTGCTTCCTGAAATTCTGCCCAGCACCCCCACCAAAGGCCTAAAGCAACGAACATGCAATCTTGAATGATTAGCCAGAATAGACCTTGTATTCTATCAGCATCTCATTTTAGCTACAGAAAGCTGAATAACAGACCTACCAAGACATCAGGTGTACACTGGAACTGCCCTGGGAAATGACGTGTTTATTTTCTTTCTTCTAGATGTTTGTGGGGAAAAGTAAGCTGCCGTTGTGGTTCAGATGTGTGTCTCCAAAAGCTCATATGCCAGACAACACAAGGAGGTCCAGTAGAAAATAGTTAGATGACGATAGTTGTGACCTAGAAAGTGGATCAATCCACTGATGTGGATTAACTGCTGGTAACTGTAGGAAGGTCAGGTGGGTCACTGGGAGTCTACCTTTGAGATATCTATTTTGTTCCTGTCAGTGTTGCTCTCTCTGCCTCCTGCTGCCATGCCTGAATGGCTTTCCTTCTACCAAGGTCTTCTGCCCTGTTTTGGGCCCAGGGCACTTGAGTCACCCATCCATGGACTGAACCTCTGAAACTGTGAGCCCCAAATAAACTTCTTGTCCTCTACATTGTTCTTGCCACATCTTCTGTTTACAGCCACAAAAACAGCTAACTAAAACAGTTACGCTTTTCTAGTCTGTACTCGAGGACCTAAGTACCTTGCATTTCACAGCTACAGAAAACATTCACCGAAACGGGGATTGCCATCCTTTCTGAGGTGCCAGCTTGTAGCAGTTTAAAGGTGTGACAACCTAGCTGTCAACTGAAGAAGGGCTCCCAAAAGGCCCACAGGAAACTGAACACAGCAGGCTCCGTCTCCAGGTGAGAAGCATCAAGTGGTAGTGGTTGTGCCTTTTTGTTAGATAAGGTATTTTCACCAGTGCCTGTGGAGCTGGACCCTGTTACCATGTGATCCTAGAAAGGAAAGGCCAGAGGAGCTGTCCGTGTGTGCAACACTGGAGATGTGGCTCATGTCCACGTGGCAGAAGCGGAGTCCAGCACTGCCTGTGGTGACAGTGGAACAGCTCCGAGAGCAGAAACCACTGGGACAACTACTGTTCAGGCATCGGGCATCCTCCCATGTCGACCCCGAGACGCTCCGCCTCCCTTTCACGGACATGAAAGCCGTAGCACAGAATGGAGGGTTGCCCAGGAGCACAGGTCGGTCCTGCTGGAGCTGCCGTGACAAGATACCACAGTGGGTAGATCAAGCCATAGACACCTGTTTTCTCCTAGCTCTGGAGACCAGCAGTCCAAAATCAAGGTGGCAGCAGGAGTGGTCCCCATCTGGTTGTGTCCTGCCATGGCCTTTGCCCTGTGCATGAGCATTCCCAGCATCTGTTGGATGGTCCAGGTTTCCTCCTCTGATGAGCACGACAATCACACTGGATTAGGCCCCACTCCACGGGCACACTGCTAGGTGTAGGGGCTGGGCCTTCAGCATATAAACTTGCCGAGGACACAGTCAGGCCATGGCAGCGCCCGACCCAAGATTCAGATTCACCTGAGCCATCGACTTCTCTCCGTCACATCAGGCTAGTGTAAGGACTTTGCTTGATGCTGTAAGAGAAGTACATTTCCAGGTTGTGTCTACCCCACAAGAGTTGTCAGTTGTCAGCATAGAAGAGGAGAGATGCAAGCCAACAGCTTAGTCTCAGGCAAGAAAGGAGTAAACGAAGAAAGAAAACGTGATTAACCAGGAAGCCTCCGAAGACTGTAGCATGGGACATGGACACCCTGCCTGTGGAGGGCGGGGACCTGAACCCAGGGTCGCCGGCCCGTTGATGCAGTGGCACACGCAAGGAAGCGAGACACCACCTCCTTGTCAAATTCCACCGCTGGGTGTTGCACTGGGCTCTCTGGGTCTCTGTTCTGCGGGGAGTGGCCCATCAGAGTGGGGCTCGGAAGGTAAACGAGACAATTTCCGCAAATCACCTGATGTTCCTATTATCCTCATGTGAGGTCTCTGTGATTAATCCAGATTTGTGATGAAAGATTTTTAGGGTATTTTTAAAATGTAATATTTCTACAAAGCAATAACAAAATATTTCCTATAAGAGTTGGAGCATGGCTTTCTTTCTTTCTTTCTTTGTTTTTTTTTTTTTTTTTTTTACCAGTACTGGGAATTGTACAGTAATGTACATAAGCACTCTGCCACTGATCTGTATCCTAAGTCCTTTTTTTAAGTCCCCAGTGTGTGCTGGGTCAGGCTCCTCGGGCCTTTCAGACCCAATGCACACTGTTCTGACGTTGTGTAAAACCAGGGCCCCAGCGGGCAGTGGCTGCCAGGACAGTGAGAGAAGCAGGAGACGCTCCAGAGGCCCGCAGCTGCACCCTGAGGCTCGTCTGTGTGGACGCAGGCCCCGGCGCTAAGGTGGACAATGCGGCTCTCTAGGTCACACTGTGCAGATCACAGTAGCCACATTTCCATGAATGTAGAGGCCGGAGACAGGAGGCAGGTCTCTGGAATTTCAGATGAGACCGCAGCGTCTGGGAGCTCTGGACGGGGTTAAATCCAACCATCCAATATACACTCCTCGTGGTTGCCATGGCAACATGCTCATTCTGCCCACTCCAAGTGTGCTTCTTCCTCCTGGTGGAAGTGTTTACTTGGCGTCTGTTGGGAAGCTATAATTTTTTATTAAAATATACACTGAATTGAAAGGGCACTGAATTGGAATTCACCAAGCCTTTCTTGAGATCACGGGGTATGAATCCATGTTCTTAGGAATTCCGTAAGTCCTCCTCTTACAGCACCCGACTTGTCTCTTCTGAAGGTTTCACTTCTCATTTTAACAGTATTTTTAAAAGCCTAATTCGAAGCCCAAAGGATTTACAAGTGTCAGCATTGTTCTCCGTTCTTCCAGGACCAGGAATCCCAATTCTGGTTAATTAGGCTTGCAGGATTTTAGGAAGAATGGCAAAGGGGTTCCTAATTAATCTACCTGGAAACGTTCACCTGTTTCTTCTCTTTAAATTCCCACCAGACTGGATCTCCGTTCCTGACAGACAGCCACTTCTTGCTGATGAACCTCGCGGGAGCCCTAACTCACCTTCCTGAACCTGAGTCCCCATCCAGAGTCCGAGTCTCAGTCACTTACCTGCCCACTCTTCTCCAGAGCCACACTCCTCCAGGAAGAATGACGTGTATTCAAAAGCAAACAATAATCAGACATCGCGCCCCGATTCCTGTGTAATTACTGGTTCTACAGGGAAAGGAAACGGGGAACAATGCAGGAGGAAGAGCACGTCAACCAGGCAGCAGAGAAGGGCTTCCACGCTGCTGAGAGGAGCCTGTGCATAGCAGAGTCCAGGGAAAGGTGCGCGAGAGAGACTCTTGAGAGCAGAGAGCAGAGCTTTTACAAAAGGTCATCACAAGGATTTCAGTGAAGATCATAAGAGATTAAGAAATCCAATCCCACTACATGGTGTCTCTAGACAGGAACCAAATAAACTGAACAGCAAAGACATAGAAAACAACTCAAAACCCCCCAATTTTGAAGTACTTAGAAACTGGCACTGAGAGACTGGTGCTCATGGTGCAGGAAATGGATTTGGGATGCCCACAGCAACACCAGGGAAAGATGTCAGTGTTCAGAGTGAGAAACTCTCTTAGGACAAAAAGCTAAATTCTAAGTCACATAGAAAGAAAAGCAGACTCATTTCAAATTTCTACACAAAATATTTAAGTGATAGTCAGAAAAAGCATGTGTGTGTGGTGGGGATGGGGGTGGGGGATAGCAAAAATGTGACATTCAAACATGTATATGCTTTAAAAAAACTTTCATTAAAAATAATCTCTAGGTTTTCTTAAATTCCAGGCCATTTACATTGTATTGAAGAGCATGCATCATAGCAGACACCTTGGTCTGGTTTAATATCTTGAAAGAAATACACTTAAAGCTTCATATTGCATGTGTTATTTGATACAGGATTTATATATAAAACATTAGATCTGTACATATAGTTTATTTTGGTCTAGTCTTCTTTTTTTTAATTTTCGTCACATATAAAGTCTGAACTTTGTTAAATGCTTTCTTGTGCCTCTCCTGAGATCTTCACATGATCTTTTGTCATTTATTCTACCAATCTATAAATATATTGACAAAATTCTTTGATGCCAAAATGTCTTATTTCATGAATAAGCTGTGTTTGATCATTTCTATTTTATAGAGTTTTACTCAAAAAGCTAATATTTTATTATTCCTTCTATATTTTTTTTGCTTTAAACCCTATTTAGACTATTTTTGAATTCTCACACCTAATTTCTTTTGATTTGAGTTTGAAGTCTACACTTTAGTAGATTTTTTTTCTACTCACAAACTTTCTGACTCTGGAGTGTTTTGATAGAAAATATATTACAGACATGAATATATTTTTATCTGCCTCCCATTTTAAAATGTTGATTTTATTAGTGCATAATTATATGTCATAAAAATGAATTGCTTTAATTGACTAGTGAGTATTGAAATTTTTATACTTTCTTACGCAGCAACAATCAAGGCAGAAATTATAGGCAAATATTCTTCCCTTCCAATCCCAAACTACCACTAATCTACTTTACATTACCAGAGATGGTTTTAGTCATTTATACAGTTTCATAGTAATGAAATCATATAGTATGCTCTTTTATGTCTGATTTCTTTTTTAACATAATATGAATTGTTGCAATTTGTTCATTTTCATAGTTGAGTAGTACTCTACCATATGGGCATACTACATTTGATCAAATTACATTTTTCTGTTTTTCTTCTCTTATTCCATTGAGTTATACCTTCAGTTTACCCCAAATGGCTGCTGAATTTTGTCAAATTCTTTTTCATTTTTTCTTCCTTATTTTATTAATGTAACAATATACCCTGAAGATGGAATGTTTGTGCAGCGTTGTTTGGGATAAAATCAAACTGATTATATGTAATGTATATAGTACATTGCATATTAGTTTATATATTCATTGTCTTCCATGGGTAGATCTAATTATCCTTTTTGACTAAAAGCCACATGACCTACATTTATTTTTTTCATAGCTAATTTTCAATTATTAAGCCAAAGTAATTTCCCCTCCAAATTCTGAAACGGTATGTATGCATATCTCTATTAAAAATATCAAACATCTCAGAATATTCTGGTTTGTACCTTGAGCCATTCCCCCTCCACCACTTCGATAATCTGCAATTTTTATTTCTTATTTTATTTTTGTTTATCTTATTGCTGTAACATAAATATTCTCTATAGAAGATCATGAATTTTCCTGTAGTTCTTGGCCTATATTGATCATTCATGTGAACATCTTCTTCCTCTTTAATGTTGTTATCTTTCTGGAGTGACTTTTGAACATTTTTTGACATTTTTTTATTCCTTCTGCATACACTTTAGTTTTTATTTATATATTTTTGTTATTGTTTCTTTTCTTTTCTTCACTCTATGCTTTCTAGAAAATATTTTACAATTCCCTAATTTGTCAGTTTTACCACTTTATTATTAACATTCCTATCAACATCTTTACTATATTTTTCATATATATTGTCACCTTTTTTTTAGTTTATAACACTTTGTTCCTGCTTCAGATAGAAAATATTCTAAAATTTTACCATAAATTCCTAATCTATCTTCTCTCAAATAATGGTACATCTGTAATAGAATATTCGCCCAATTGTTCCTTTTGTTTTTATTTTCTTGCAACATTTGCTTCCCTAATTTCTCACCCTTTATCTCTGTGAGTTGATATTTGCCTCAGATTCCTGGCACCCTGCCTAGAATGCATGGCTGGGAGGAAAGGTGGCGTCCAGTTCTGCCACGTATCCTCCCTGCTCCAGACCATGGATAGAATGTGCAAGTGGGTGCCTGACACAGAAGCCACTGGGAGTAAACCTTTTCCTTGAGTCCTTTCTCTTCTCTGTCACCGGGAGCCACCTGACGGCTAGAGGATGTTGGCACTGAGAAGCAGATGCTCAGAGGATGGCAGCTCTGCCTGCCTTGCTTTTCATTAAATTTTCTTTTCTTTTCCAAGCCTTGAAATGGTTATTTTGTGGGATGTGGTCAGTAGTGGCCCCAGTCATCCTAGGAAGAGGAAAGGACCCACTTTGAAGAGTCTCCCAGCCCTCTGCATTCTATCATTCTCTGTGCACATACGTGGGATTCCATGGCTCTCACTTGGCTGATATGTTCTAGTTGATCGATGCCTTTTCTTTCTGGGCAACCTCAGCATTGGATCAGGGATGGGAATTGGGAGCTCCTGCCGTTGGACTGCCTGTGTTGCCCAAGTGAATCGCTGCTCAATTCCCCCAGTTTGCTTTCAGTACTTTCTTCCTTGTTGGACTGATGGATAATTTAAGTATAGCATCAAGCTGAGACATGTTTCCAACTCTCTGGTTTTCCTGAGTTTACTCTCTCATTCCTTTCTTTCTCAATTATATGTGAAACTGCCTGTCCTGCACTGGGCTTTCGACTCAGAACCTGAATTCAAGACCTGCACAGGTCTTGCACAAGCGTGTGACCCAGCATGGAATAATGACCACATGCAATCTTCTACAGTCTGAGGTCTTCCCTTTATAACATGAGATTAATTTCATCATTCTCTTTAGTTGCTTGGACATTGTGGGATGCTTGGGATGCCTTTCAGGTCTCCCTCCAAGACAAAGTCTTTCATTTTCCCCAACTCCTTCAGGATTGGGGATTCACCACTGACAGGTGAGACATGTTCACAAAAGCCTCCTTCTAGGGTTCTCTCCCCCAGGGTTGGTAGTCTTCAGTGACTGGCACTGCAGCATACAAATACCTGTTCCTTTGCTTTGACTCAGCACGGATCCCTGGACCATTCTCTTTCCACAGTTCCTCATATCATCACCTTAAGTCTCTAGTGCAACTGCAGTTGCGTGAATCCTTGTCTCAAATTTGCATCTTATGGTTTGAACATGATTTGTTTCCCAAAAGTGCCTGTGTTAATTTGGAATTTCCAGAGGTCAATTGATCAGGTGATGAGAGCTGTGATTTCATGGGTCCATCCTAGTTTGACTGGATGGCAGCTAGAGGGGGCCAGGCGTGACAGGAGGAGCTGGGTCCTGGGGGAGTGCCCCAGACAGGTTCGCCTTCCCTGTGGCCCCTCCCCTTCTCTCCCTGAGGCCCACCATAAGCAACAGCACTCCTCCACCACACCCCGTCAACAGGATGTTTGGCCTTACCTTGGGCCCAGAGCCATGGGAAAAGCCAACAATGGACTGAATCTCGGAAACCATGAGCCAAAATAAATGTTCCCTCTTTTAATTGTCCTTGTTGGAATATGTTGGTTACAGTGATTAAAAGTTTATTGGCGCATAAGTGGATACCAGATACCAATGAGGTTGTTTCTGTGACCAAAATGACCATGTGGTTCAGAAGCCCTTGGGATTGGTTTGTAGGGGAAATGGGGGAAATTTGGAAATGGGGTTTGAGACGCTCTGGAATGTCATAAGCAGAGGTCGGTGGGCAGCCCTGGAGGAAGTCAGAAGACAGGGATGCTCAAAGGACTGAATGGTAATGGCTGTGCCCGTGAGGCTTTCAGGGAAGAGGATCCTGTTGGAAATTGGACTAGAGACCATTCCTGTTATGTTCGGACAAAGCACTTGTTTACCTTTGGCCCATTCTCTGAGACTTTCTGTGAAGCCAGATTTAAAGGTGATGGATCAATTACTCTGGCAAAGGCAATTTCAAGACAGCACAAAATTCAGGCTATGGCATGGATACTGCTATCAACTTTAGTCAAGTAAAATGTGAGAACTGAAAGAAGAAACAGCTGAAATATTTGATTAACTTGCTATTTGGCTAGAAGAGTGCATGTAAAATTGGAGGCAGGGAGTTTGGGGGTTAAAGTATTATAGCCACTAAAGAGGTGCTAAGTACTTTGTACAGAAACAAGAGGAAAGATGTCTTGAGGGGATCTAAGGAATTTGCCAGACCACACCCATCACAGACTTAAAGGCATAGAAGTGAAAACTTATTTAAGAGACTTGGGGTCACCCTGCTCTCACAGGAGGGACTAGAAAGCTTTTTCCCTAATATTTGTTTCACTTTGTTTGCCACCACTACCCCCACCCCAGCACTTAGAGGCTGGTGTGAATTGACCCAAAGTGACCTGATGATTAATGGTGCTTACAGCAGAACTTGGCACTATCTACATGGTGCTGGTTCTGCAGAAATGCAGGACACTGGAGTTGGGTAGTGATGGCGGCTTCCACCAAGATGTGAAAGAAAGTCTGGGAGGCCCAACAAAGCATAGCAGTATTGGAATTTCTGTCGGCCACCCCTGAGAGGGCTCTACACGAAGTTGAGAAAGAAGTCAAAGCTACAATGGAAATAAGCCCCATCTCATACTAACAGATGACAATAACATGGACAGGTGTTGAAGAAAGCTGCTAGCCACGGAGAGAGCCAGGCTAAGAAGGTGGCCGTAAGCTCTGCAAGCAGCAGGTCC